TTAATTCAAATCAAGTGTATTGGAGCAGAGGAAACCTCTAAAACATGCAGGATAGAGGTGCTCAACGACCAGGACTGGACTCCTGTGCACTAGGGCATTTCGCAGATCAGCTGTAAGAAAGGTGCTTGTGTTTTCAGTGTGTGATTATTTACAATATCCATCCACCTTAGAATCAGTGCTGCAACAGAAATGCAATTCCCTGATGGTGGCTGTGTTGGTAACAAGCCATCAAAAGACTACTGTAAAACTGCATCCATGAGTGAATATTTAAACAAATGAGGGTAAACTAAAACCACTAATCATCTAATTTTCATCTACCCTCACAAAAAGAGAAAAGCTCTGATTATTAATGTATTTTATCCATTTGGTCTCTTGTGGTTTGTGGCGTTAAAGGGATCAATCAAACGTAACTCGATTTTCTTCTTCAATCTCCCTTAAACCCTTCCTACCTCTGCCAGTGGTCAGAAAACTCAAAGCCATATGGGTGGTGGTTTGGTAATAATTTTATTATCAAACTCTTGATGAGTTGTTGCCTGGCACACGAGCGTGGGTGCTCAACGTCCAGGTGGCTCCTGTCCTGTTAACGTCCAGTACAAGAGAGCTTTATTTATATACAGCAGCTCACCACAACGTGACACTCCGTCATGGATATTCTTTATTCCCAAGGCTAATCTTGTAAGCACTAAGTTGGAGTAAATCATTTTTGTATACACTGTAGAATAACACTAGAGTTTTGGACCAAATAGGGTTTCATATTAAGTCAAGTCAGCAAAAGAAGCTCTATGTAAAGAAAGAAAAGAACAAGATTGGTGCACAGGCAGCTAAGCCTCCCAGGACACACATTACACACTTCTCTACAGCTGCAGCCATTAAAGACAAACAAGCTGGTCCACCACCCAAAGACTACTTACTGCTCTGTTACTGCAGTGACACAGAGCTGTATGATGCCCAGCAGTGCCACAATAAGAAATGAAGCCCTGTACAGTGGAAATGAGTTGATAACGAGGGATTCTGCTCAGAAGCAAACCCAGATTTATCTTTCATACCTCTCTCTTGAAATCCCAAACATGTTTGTTATTAAGGCAGAAAGGTAAGAGTAAGGTTTAATACAATTCTGGAGTAAATTTGCAGCAACCAGTAGTTTTTTCCCATCATTAAATATTGTATTTGCCTGAACAGTATGGACACAATGGTTTTTGGACCTTTGGCACTTGTGTAAATGTATTTATCTCCTGCCACTGTTAAAGGCAGGTGATAATGTAACTGCCCATATCAATGCACAGACTTCAATGAAACTAACAAAGCAATCAATGGACGTACACCTATAATCAAATACATTTTGAAGTAAACCATTTTAAAGATGGTTGCAACAGATAATAGGTGTTAAAAAGAAAAGAATGCTGTCATTTTGTGATTGTAGCAGAAAATCACCAAACACATAACAGATAACATGAGATCTTGCAATAATGTATTTGATATTACATTACGTTATTTTCAAAGACTGATCACAAATTGCTATAAATACCAGCTATGTTGTATGGTCTGGAGGCAGTGACATTGACAAAAAGACAGGAGAAAAAAGTGGAAGTGGCAGAAATGAAGATGTTGAGGTTCTCCTTAGGAGTGATAAGGATGGATCAGATTAGGAATGACATCAGAGATACAGCACAGGTTGAACAACTGGGAGATAAAGTTAGAGAGACCAGACTGAGATGGTTTGGACATGTCCAGAGGAGGGACAGTGGGTATATTGGTAGAAGGATGTTGGAAATACAGCTGCCAGGAAAAAGACAATGAGGAGATATATAGATGCAGTGCAGGTTTAACGCAGCTCTACATTGGCCTTAAGTTTCAAACAGAGGGATATCTCCACCTTTTACAATCTTTTTCTCCTCAATAATTTTGTGAACACAAATTGAGTTGCTCATTACAGTAAATGGACTGTACTTATACAGCATCTTTCTATCTTATCAAGATACTCAAAGCTCTTTACACTACAATCTGTGCCCTCTTTAACCCATTCATACAGCACTCTACTAGATCTATACAAAGAATAATCAGAGCTTCATCACATTCATACACCGATGGGACACACATCAGAGGCAATGAGGGGTTCAGTGCCTTGCTCAGGATTCAGCATGTGACTGCTGGTGGAAACAAACCCCCAACTCTCCCACTGAAGGACGACTGCTATAACCACTCAACCACAGCTGCCCCTTTATCATCGTTTTATTTACAAAAAAATGCTATGAATATTGAGTTATAATGAATTAGTTGTATGCACTCCTATTTACATCCATGTCTTTCGGTCTTAAACGTCACTCAGGGTGCAGCTCACACCTCTCACATAGGTACACTACGATCTTACAACGCACCTGCCATCCTTCAACTAGGTCAAATGATAGCAACAAACCAAGGAGGTGGCTGGAGATCATGATTTGACTTATCGGGTCATTAAATACAAACTTTTACAGTTTTAAGATGCAAAGATGTGTTAAGAAACTAGATGTCAGTAGAGCACTTCTTTGTTTTATTTTTACATTCTCTTAGTCCTGAGCAATAACCTAAAATTACTTCCCAACATGTTTGAGTGTAAAACTGTGATTAAATGCTAAGCAGTCCAGACCTCCAAACAAACATCAATAAAGAAATGTTTGTGTTATTCTAAAACCCTGCTTTGCCAGGAAATGTTGTAGCTGGCAAGACGGCACCTTAATTCTTCTAAAAACGTCTTGAAACACATAAAAGACCTAACGTTCTGCTAAATTTAAAGAAAATATTAGATTACATGTTTTAAAAGGATTAAAACTGAAGTGAACTTATCCTGATGCATGCTCAATAATCCAGGTAGAAAAATCTAAAAAAGTTAAATCTGGTCCTCTGGACATTCAAAAAAACAAAACAAAGCAAATCAACAAAAAAAATGTAGAAACGTTTCGTCTCTCATCCGAGAGACTTCCTCAGTCTGAGGAGCTGTTTTCAGCTCAGTCTCTTAAATAGCACCGTCTCAGGGTGGATCAACCAGTTTTGCTGCTGACAACCAAAACCAGCTGATCACATGCTCAAGAAGGACCATCAGCATAACAATGGATCATTAGCACACTGATGGCTGTTTACTGTTCACAGAGGGCTGAGTGATACTAGCTATCACAGCATTGTAAGAGGGGGACAGTTGAACCCGGAGGCCTCCACCCCTGTTTAATGATGGACGGTTTCTTTTCACAAAGATGGCCTCCTTTACTCCTCTCTCAAACCATCGTTCCTCTCTGTCCAGGATGTGCAAATCTTCATCCCTGAAAGAGTGACCGCTGGCCTGGAGATGAGTGTAGACCGCAGAGTCCTGGCCTGATGATGTTGATCTTCTGTGCTGGGCCATCCTTTTGGCCAGTGGCTGTTTTGTTTCCCCGATGTAAGACTGATCACAGCCCTCCTGACACTGAACAGCATACACAACATTACTCCGTTTGTGCCGGGGGACTGGATCTTTGGGATGAACCAGTCTTTGCCGTAATGTATTTTGGGGTTTAAAAGCCACTGGGACGTTATGTTTAGAAAATAAACGTCTCAGTTTCTCTGATACTCCCTCAACATATGGAATGACCACTGGTCTGGGTCTGGGTTCCTCCTTTTCACCTGATGGCTGACTGGAGTCTTGTTTGGGTTTCTTCTCTGCTTTCAGGAAGGCCCAGTTAGGATATCCACATTGCTCTAGAGCCTGTCTTGTGTGGGATTTCTCCTTCTGCCTGGCTCCTGAGCTAGTGGGGACGCTGTCTGCTCTGTGATACAGAGTCCTGATGACTCCTAACTTGTGCTGGGAGTCAAACTGCAAATACTGGTCTGTGTGTGTGGGTTTGCGGTACACCTCAGTTTGCAAATGTCCTCTATCAGAGACTGAGACCTCACAGTCCAAGAAAGCCAACCTGCCATTTTTTACATCTTCTCGTGTGAACTTGATGTATTTATCCACAGAGTCGATGTGGTCAGTAAAATGTTGGACTTCCTGAGATTGGATTTTAACCCAGGTGTCGTCAACATACCTGAACCAATGACTTGGTGGTGTCCCTGAAAAGGACGTCAAGGCTCTCTTTTCTACCTCCTCCATGTACAGGTTGGCAACAATAGGAGAAACTGGAGACCCCATAGCACACCCATGTTTCTGCCTATAATATTGCTCCCCATATGTGAAGTAGGTTGACTGCAGGCACAGTTTCAAGAGTTGACACAGTTGTTCTGTGGAAAGTGTGGTCCTGCTGTTCAGAGTGGTGTCTGATGTTAATTTTAAACTGACCACCTCTACTGCATCATCAACAGGAATGCACGTAAAGAGTGATGTGACATCAAAAGAGACCATTGTTTCATCAGTCTCCATGATGACATCCCTCACCTTGTCCACAAAGTCCATGGTGTTCTGTATGTGGTGTTCTGAGCTGCCAACTAAAGGGATGAGTACAGACGCCAGATATTTGGAAACATTGTAAGTGACAGAGTTAATCATACTAACAATTGGTCTTAAAGGTACACCTTGTTTGTGGATTTTAGGTAAATCATACAGACTAGGTGTGGCCTACCCTGGGTACAGTCTGTGGTACAGAATACGGTCAATATCCTTGTCCTGCTCCAAAATTTTCAGGCAATCTATTAACTTTTTCTTGTAACCACTTCCTGGATCTCTTTTCAGAGGTTCATAAGTGGTTAAGTCACTAAGGAGTGTCATAATTTTCTCATGATAGTCTTTCTGGTTCAAAATCACTGTGCACCTTCCTTTGTCTGCTGGGAGAATGATGATGTTTTTGTCCTTGCTAAGAGTGGTGAGTGCATCCCTCTCCTCTCTACTGATGTTGGAAGGTGGTGGTTTGGCATTGCTGAGGCAGGCTGAAACTTTGACTCTGAACTGTTCTGCTTCAGCCTCTTTAATTTTGTTGTTGCGGATGGCTGATTCTGTGGCTGTGATCATCTCCACCAGAGGAATTCTACTTGGTGCAACCGCAAAGTGAACTTACTTTCTCAGGTGCTCGTGCTCTTTTAGAAACAGCTCCGTTCTTCTATTGTTGACCCCAGAACCGCTCTTATATGACCTAAAGAGGAAAAGTAAAAAAAACAAAAAAAACAACGTACTGTCAGTATAAAATCAATCGACTAATTAAAGGAAGTTTTTGCATTTGTGCATTTTAGTGGTTTAAAATATTTAACAGCAGCAAGTGAAGGAAAATTCTTCACTTTGAGAGAAAACGTTCAGTCTTAATTCAATTCAATTCAAAAATACTTTATTAATCCCAAAGGGAAATTATTTGTTGTTGTAACTCGTTATCCTCATTTGAGTTGAAATATTATAGAAATTATTTGAGCTTTTGAGATGTTAATCAGCTGCTGTGGTAGAAAACTGCCTTGTTGCCATAGTTACGCATCATAACAAATGTCCAAAACTAAAAAAGTTTCAGTAAAAATCCTTCAAGCTGCACAGCATCTGATACCAAAGGAAACAATCATCCAAAAAATGTGATTTACATCCAGAAAAAGAGGAATTAAAGTTTCCTAAAACAAAATCTCAGAATGAAAGTAACAGAGCTGCTCCAACATGCAGCCACCTTGAGCGGCGCAATTCTAGAACATGATTAAAGTGTCTGATATGCATTTTATACAATTACAAAAAGTGAAAGAGAATATTAATATTCAAGCAATTTGGCACAATATACATAATTTTACACATTTTATCACATAACTGGATGATCGTCTTTAGAACTCAACACAAGCAAAGTAAAACAGGGAGTGACATGAAAGGGGAACTCTCTGGTCTTTGTTAATTGAAACATTATTTGAACTCGTCTCTCTCTGATAGTGACTCAAAATAACCTAAAGAAACTTCAGCTTCTCCTCTACAGTCTGTGTTGTTAACCGTTGTGGCGATGCTCAGTTTACATGCAGGCATTCCTCTTCGTCCTCACCTCTGTCGGCCTCAGAATCACTCGGTCAGTGCAAAGTGTCTCCTAAAGAGCCACCCTTGTAGCTTCTGTCACCACTTTTTTTTGCTCCATAGTAGTAAGGTGGTATGGCTTTGCTGCTTCACGCAAACTGAGGATAATTTATCTGCTCCGCTGACAGGAGGCAGTGGATTAACTGCTGAGCGTCAGAAGTTTGTGTCAGTAACGACACTGAGCCACAGACTCAAACAAAACAGCAGGGTCAGGATGGTTACGTGTTTAAAAAGACTAAAAACTCTGCTCTAATCTCATTTTATCACCAGAAATTACAAACGGACGGATAAACAAACCCAAACGCTGATGGCTCCCAACAATCTGAGATTAATGAAGCAGACTTTTTTTTTTTCGAGCTTTATGGGAGTAAAGATAATGAGCGCACACACCCATCGTCTTCCAGCTGGTGCAACTCTAGCTATCAGCGTCTCTAAACAGCTAAAAATGACGCACTCTTGTTGGTTTCTGATCATTTAACACAGCCCCACCTTCTTGTTGGGTGAGAGTGAGATAAAGAGCAGTGGAAGGGAGAACTGTGCACACACACATCTACCATTAACATCCTACCCCACCCAGCTGACAGCAACAATAAATGTGCCTTCATCCGGAGTACGGCGTTAAAAGCCCATGAATAATATAAATAAAAAACACAATGCTGTACGCAGTGTGCACACAGTTCATCTCGCAGGAGTTGCCTTGAGTTTAGGTCGGTTACCCCAGCAGGGAGACTGAGCCAGAACCACCAGCATCGGAGTAGAAAGGCTTTTTAAAAGGGCACCGACGTAAATCACAGGCTAGTTGTCATTTTAGTTGCTGACAATAAGAATTAAAGCAGCGCAGGGACTTCTGCTCGGCTCCTGCTGGTGTCATGAGCTGCACACGGCAGGAGTGCGTGTGGAAGAAATAATGATCTGAGAGCTCACTGCAAGATGTTGAGAAATGTTTTAATCAAATGTAAGGCGGCTCATTGCTTCGTTTGTGTAAACGAGTTGGCGTGTACCACTGTTTCCTTTAATTGTTGCACATTTTTCTATTTGCGCAGCACAAACCACCCTCATCCTGGACCAGTTTCACTAGTGGCCAAGATCTCCACTGCCCTCTGCCGGACAAACGGAGAAAAACTACAGCAGCAAGGCCAATCACAGCATCTGCAGAACTAAAGATGATTACAGCCCTGACGTTACTTATTTCAAATACTAACTAGAAGAACAAGCCTAAATTAGCAGACAAAAGCAGAAAGAACACATATTTGATGAATGGGGTTTAAATAAGCAGAAATGAGCACAAAAATTATGAATTACCTTTAAAAAAAGGGCTGAAATTAGCAAGAAGTAACTGAAAAGGCAGAAAGAAGTTTAAAACTACCAGAAGGAAGTGGAAAGAGCTGAAATTAGCTAAAAAATGTCAAAATTTGTTGAGAAAACTAAAATTAGCATACAGCGGCTACATAGTAGCTAAAATTGCATAAAATTCTTCAACTAACAGAAAAAAGCTGAAAAGGTGCATAATAAGCCGAAATTACCATAAAGATATTAGGCTAAAAGTAGCAAAAATTACCATGAAAACTGGAATTCATCTGAAAACAGCTGAAATTAGCTAAAAAAAAAAAAAGTAGAACAAGCTGAAATTAGTGGAAGGAAGAAGAGCACACATTTGCCTAATTAAGCAAAATGAAGCGGAAATGAGCACAATATGTGGAATTTATCTGAAAAAAGCTGAAATTAGCCACAAAAAAAAACACAAAAAAAGGCCAGCCGAAAAGTAGCTAAAAATGCAGAAAGAAGCAGAATTACAAAATAGAGCACATTTTTGCTGAAATGGGCTGAAAAAAGTTTAAATGAGTGCAAAAAATAAGAAATTATCTGGAAAAGCTAAAAGTTGCATAAAAACAGCTAAATAGCAGAAATCGCAGAAAAAAACCCGAAACTTGCATAAATAAGATGAAAGGAGGACAAGCTGAAATTAGCAGAAAGAAGTTAGACGCACAAAAATGTTCTAGTTAGCAAAATAATCTAAAAGGAGCAAAAAAAATTGCTGAAAAACAGCTAGAATTTGCTGAAAGTAAATTTGCATAAGGAAGCTGAAAGAAGCTGAAGCAGAAAAAAAATGTGAAAGGAGCAGTAAAAGGTTGTAAACAGATCTCAAGATTTGAAGGATGTAATCAGAATAAACTTTATTATCATTGCACCGAGATACGAGAACATGTACGTAGTCCGAAAGATGGGCGGAGTGCACGAAGCTGCTACTATAAAAAGTGCGGCCCTTATTATTCTTTTTCAGGACAATATTTGCTTAGATGAGAAAAGGGACGAAAACATGAGGAGAGATGGTATTAAAAAAAAAGAAAGATCTCTCAAGCCGTGTCCTAGACTGGGCACGATTTGAGGCATCAAAAAAACCTACCACAGCAAAGCAACATAAACAGGCGTTATACATGAACATCTAGGCGGTGAAGACATTGAATTTTAAGGGAAAGTCGTAGCATAGTCCAGAGCCCCCCCCTCAGCCATTGTCCAGATAAGAGGTGACTTTCATCATCAGCTCGGTTGAGGTTCTGTCACATGTCCACGGCCTTGGGGAAGGGAGTGATGAGGAGACAGACAAAGCATCTTTGTTTTTTTTTTTCAAAACATGCCAGGAAGAGTTGAGAAGTCCCCCGTCAAGAAAGTCTTGCTGGTATATTCCTCTGATGAAAACTCCAAACAGCCAAATTGATTCCTTAAAGTCGAGCTCACAGCTTCTTCAAGATTATTCCCATCTTCATGTTTGCTGCTAGAGTTCACAGTCCTGAAAACAGCTGCTCCAGCTCTGATGCAGCTGCACATAATTCAGTCTGAGTGCTGCCAAGCTTGAACACATCCACACAAATTTATAGACAATCCTGAGTTCACCAGCCAAACAGCAAAAAACAGTTGTCATGAATCCAATTTGTTTCTTTGTTTCCGTCGAGCTAAGAGGGTCCTCCTTACCCTCACTCCTGTTGGGAGAAGTTGATCAATTTTGTTGAGAGACCAGCTGATCCTTTGAAATAGGAGGTATGCAGAGAAAAAAAAGGAGGCTCTTTAAGGGTTCACAGGACGAAAGAGTGCAAGCAGGGAAGCAGGTGGGGGGGGGGGGGCGCAGGGAGACACGTCTGTCTTCACCGGAGAACAGAGAGAAAGAAAGAAAAAAATTTGCTCAATTCGTTTTTTGAGAAAAAAAAATGGAAGGCTAAATATTTCTAAAAACTAAAGATGCACTAACACCTAAAGTTCTTCTCCTGAATGAGCTGAACGTTGATGTGCGTTTGTTGAAATAGCACAAAAAATGTGGAACAAGAAAAGCTGCCAAAAAAACGTATGGAAGAAAAAAATGGATCACGAGCGAGTGAATGCTTCTTAAACATTCACACTTTTAGTTAATATATTGGTAATCAACAGTTTCAAGCTTCTATTTTCTATTACTTAAAATAACTTTTGCTTCAACCATTTCTCTAAACAAATCTTTTAGTTACATTTAAAATTTCCTAAATACATTTGTCACTTGGACTTGGAATGAGTGAGAGTACCACAACAAGCCAGAACATCTGTGTGATCCAGCTGCTAAAAGGAAGTCTGTTAAAGTTTCAGAGTTAGTGCATTTAAGATGATCTTATGCGTTTCAACATGGGACACATGAAACCATTTACAAGTTTTCAGTTTGGATGTCTTCAATCATTTCACAGAACAGCAAGTGCCTTAAAACCCAAGAGCATTGTTCCTCTACATTTCAGCTCAGACAGCACCCTCATCATCAGCCCATTGAACTCCTTAGTTATTACACTTAGACTGAGCTTGAAGCTAAAAACACTCATAGGTAAACAAAACTCATTCAGTGAGCTTTAAAAGAGCAGAGCACTTGTCTTATTTATGCCAACATGTCTGCACGCTGTGACGAGAATGCACCACAAATTATTAAGTCCTTTTCTAACTTTTCTATTTACAAAATTCTAATGCGACACATGAAAATACAAATAAAATTATGGAGAGATAACTAATGTGAGCATAAGGCCCACAGTGAGCTCCTGTTGGCGTCATCGTGCCACGATCTCCAGCTCTCACTGGAGCAGCACAGAGTGAAAGAGGATCAGCACCTCCAAATCTGAGACCATGGTCCTCCCTGGTCACCTCCCTAGGGAAGTGCTCCAGGTATGTCCTATAGGGAAGAGACTCTGGGGAAGACCCAGAACATGCTAGGAAGACGATCTCTTTCGGGGGCAGAGAGCTCAGTGGGGTGGACGCACGGGGAGTCTGATGACGATCACATGTAAAATTATAATGGAATCCACCACGCCCAAAAATAAAATTAAACATCCAACCCAAGCAAGAAAATCATAATTGAGCATTAAGATCTGCACAGTGAATGTGGTCTCTGTCTCTCAGTTGGCCTGGGAACACCTTAGGGTCCTCCCAGAAGAGCTGGAAGAGGTGGCTGTGGAAAGAGGTCTGGGCCTCCCTGCTCAAGCTGCTGCCCCACAAAGACTAGACCAAAGCGAGCAAGCAGGTGGAGAGGGGGGTTGTACGGATTTGTACGGTTGTGGATGAATAAAATTTTATGTTACCGATTCCAAAGAACATTTTATGGCTCTATACACAATTATATCATATCATGTTATTGAAAGAACACGTCATGATCACAGACAGATGAATCTTCCATTTTGATTACTGAATGGTTCAGTTACTTGATCTGACTCCTCCTCTTTTCTGACTGAGTAAACTCTGGTCAACTGATAAGCTGCGGGACTCGTGCAGATCCTAAATACTTTCCAGTAGCCAATTAGCTCACGGATCCAAATTTGTACACATCATGAGCACCCGATGTTATATAGACTTCCTGTTTTGTTTTGACTCTTGTCACAACTTCAGCAGATGTTCCATACTCTGTTGACCCTGGAACCTGTTGTAACATTTTCACATTTTTAATAAATCAGCACAGAAAAAAAAATCTTCTTGTTTAATTCTTGAGTCCACCATCATTTCATAAAATCCACTAGAGATGGGCTATTCAACTAAATTGCTCAGGGGGCCACATTTACTGAAAGCTAATAGCTCAGGGGCCGGACATCCAGCAGTTATTGTCATTAAGTTTGTTTTATGGTTTAAAATAGAGTTTTATTTAAAAAATGAACCCATTGGTGGGCTGAACTGAGTTAATCCGAGGGCCTGATTTGGCCCCCGAGCCGCCAGTTGAATAACCCTGCACTAGAGGGTGTATTTTGTCCCCATTTTTGACTGTAGCTTATGCAAACCTAATACCTCTACCATAAATGCAACAAAGTTTAGTTTTAAAACCCCACATCTTTCCATTGAAGACAAAATAATTCGAGAACGACACCTATTTTCAATAAGCTCATGAATGAGAAATACTTCAAATGCAGCAATAAGTGGCTAAAGGCAGATGGAGGACGTGTGTTAGGTCTGTGCAGACATTTACATCCTGACAAGATGGAGCACAATCAATGGGAACCCTACAGCGCTCACAGTAAGCCTTCTGCTGCATCTTAAATCAAAATGCTATTAGAAAAAAATAGTGTTGGTCTGTGGGAGCCCCCAACTTGTTTTAATACAAAACAGGCTATAAATCTTAAGCTTCTACAACATTTTTAAAATTGAAAAACAACGTTTCCTTCTGAGGAATGACATCTACAATCTTTAAACTCTTCTAAAAAATACTTAATGGCTTTAAAACTTAATTCTTAGACTACAAACGATTTAATAAAAAGACAATATGTGTGTGGGAACTCACTCAATGTCTTTTCTGACAGACCCTAATAGGTCTTCCCTTTCTCGGATGGCCAAAAAGTTGCCTTTGGTTTTGTGGAATTCTTGTGTGTAATCCTGACGGGAAACCATAAAGAAAATAAAGAATAAATAAACAGTAAAGTTCAAGAAGACAATGCCTTTATGTGCTTCATAAAATAAACCTATGACGTTAGCATTTAGCTCTTTGAGAAGGAATTCAAAAAGAAAATATAAAAAAAGTTTAGAAAGAAAAACAAAAAACACATTTGTGAAGATTTGTGGGCCAAACCTGCAAAATGTCTCGGTGTCTCTGAAGGGTGTGCATGAGCGCAGAGTTCAGAGACGATGCTCCTGGGGTGTTGGTGTACTCCGCCATCTTGTCGTTCACGGCTGTCAGCTGATCAGAGGGTGGGCGTATGAATAAAATAAATAAATTATATATATATATATATATA